CCCTGCCGCCGCCCACCTACAGCCGTCGCCGCTGTTTTCCCGTGCGCGAGGAGGACGAGCGCCCAGCTCGCAAACCTCCTCGGCCGCTCGCGCGCACATGGGCCGCGTGGGCCCCGCTAACCGGCCCAGGCCGCAACCGCAGCTGCGCCAAGGCCCAGCGCCATCCTCCCTCTCCACTCCGCGTCCAGCCCAGCTCCACCACCGGCCCATGAGGCCCATGGTGAGAACAGATCCGGCCCGACACGTTTTTTTTCAGTTCTGGACGAATTTCCTATTTATCCAGTGTTTGGCAGTTTTACAGAATAGTCCCCCTAGATCATGCATTTAATAACTCACAAATGGTGCATCAGATTAAAACGATTTATATATGTAACTTGACTAGAATTTTATCTAGTTTCACAATATCCAACTTTCATGCATGTTTGAAATGTTTAAACTGTTGTTTGCATGTATTTGCTTAATTGCCATGCTAAAATACTTTAATTCATAACTAAATAACCATAGCTCCAAATTTAATAAACTTTATATGTAAATGGGGTAGAAAAATGCCTAGTTTAACATGGTGGCATCACTTTGCATGTTTAACAACCCTAAAATTGTGTTTAGGGCAGAACAGTACCAAATCCATTAATATGCACATGAGGATTTTCTAGACTTGTTGTTTGTTGTTCCGGCCTCATTTAAACTTGCCTAGATAGGTAGTTTTCATTTGCTTCACCTCTTGCCATGTTAATCAACATTTAATATTGTTGGGTACATAAACGAGATCGAACTAAATAACGTGAATGTGGTGTTCCGTCAATATGCAACTCGTTGCATATTGAGCTCCACTTAATTTGTAGTGTTGTTTGTTCACTTTGCCATGTCATGCTTCATTAAACCGGACATGCATTATACTTGGTTGTGCATCATGCCATGCTTATGTGAGGGTTGTTTGCTTCTTTCCGGTGTTGCTTCTTCAGGTTAGTTCCGATAACGTCGCGTTTGTGAGGATTCGTTCGACTACGTCCATTTGTCTTCTTCATGGACTCGTTCTTCTTCCTTGCGGGATCTCAGGCAAGATGACCATACCCTCGAAATCACTTCTATCTTTGCTTGCTAGTTGCTCGCTCTTTTGCTATGCCGCGATACCTACCACTTGCTATATCATGCCTCCCATATTGCCATGTCAAGCCTCTAACCCACCTTTCCTAGCAAACCGTTGTTTGGCTATGTTACCGCTTTGCTCAACCCCTCTTATAGCGTTGCTAGTTGCAGGTGAAGATGAAGTTTGTTCCATGTTGGAACATGGTTATCGTTTGGGATATCATTATTATTATATCTTGTTTACTTTAATGCATCTATATACTTGGTAAAGGGTGGAAGGCTCGGCCTTATGCCTGGTGTTTTGTTCCACTCTTGCCGCCCTAGTTTCCGTCATACCGGTGTTATGTTCCTTGATTTTGCGTTCCTTACGCGGTTGGGTTATAATGGGAACCCCTTGACAGTTCACCTTGAATAAAACTCCTCCAGCAAGGCCCAACCTTGGTTTGCTACCTAAGCCTTTTTCCCTTGGGTTCTGCAGACTCAGGGGTCATCTTTATTTTAAACCCCCGGGCCAGTGCTTCTCTGAGTGTTGGTCCAACTTGTCAGCCGCTGGTGGCCACCAGGGGCAACTCTGGGCTGGCCTACTGGAATCTTGGACAATCCGGTGTGCCCTGAGAACGAGATATGTGCAGCTCCTATCGGGATTTGTCGGCAAATCCGGGTGGCTTTGCTGATCTTGTTTTACCATTGTCGAAATGTCTGGTAACCGGGATTCCGAGACTGATCTGGTTTTAACCAATGACTATGTATACTTGCTCCCTTATGACATCTGAAGCACACATTAGTTCTAAAGTGGCAACTTTGCAAATCTATGTCAATCATGGCACTAATGTACCATGTGGCTTATGATTATAATTCTGATCAATGATGTTATAATCATGTGCCATGCTTTGTTAAGTTCTTCTCCATTTTCTATCCAATAGTAATGCGGATTAGAATAAAAATATGTACTTGTTAAGACATTACACTCTGGAGCATGATATATGTTCTACAAAAATAATGTGCTCATGGGAGCCGGAGCCTAGGAACACAAATGTTGAGGAGAAGCGATCTTACGTACTGAATATCCATGAAATCTTTTTTCATATTCATCATGTGGAACGAGGACTATGAAATCCCAATACAACACCTAGTGTTGAGCCTCTGCATTAAATGTTAGTGGTCTTTTGTCATGTAGAATGAAGACTATGGGCTCTACTGATGTATGGAACTTAATAGAGTTTTCTAAACGAGTTAAAATGGTAGGGTGCAAATGGCTTTGGAAAATCAAACATGACTCATGAGGAAAATCTCAAAAGGTTCAAACGAATACTTGTAGCGAGGCGTGTAATAAAGAAAGAATATATTGATCGTAATGACATCTCTTCTCTTGTATCGACTAAGCAATTGATGATGTTTGTGTTATCATCATGGCATGTTTTAATTTTGACTTCATTAAGAATGTTTTACGTGGCTAAACTAGAAGGTTTTGTCATGAAAGAAAGGTAACATAAATCATGTTGTCTAAATAATTCAAATATGAACTAAGATGAGCATTCAGACAATGGTACCTTAATTCTAGGAGGGGGGTAGGAGTAAATTCACCATCAAATTCCCACCAACCAAGAGTTTTCCTATCTCCCAATTATGACACAAGTGATCTTGGTGATGACTCATGCATTACTTGTATGGAGATTCACCGGGACATAGGCCCAAAAGAAACATAAGTCCTATTATACTGACATAGGAGTACATCGGCACGGTGCAAAAGAAACACATTATACCTAGCTTAGAGAGGCGAAGACCATCCACCACCACCGGCCACCGCAAGGTTGTGCCGCAGGCATCCTGCATGTCTGTTGACCAACTCCTCGCTGCTGGGAGGCGCACAACCATGGGACTCTGCTTTTCAACTATGGTAATGACCCAACACTTCCACTAGAGTTTCATATAGGTGCACTAGCTTAGGATAGGTAATGAAGTTAAACCTAAATCTAACAGTAATTGATGTGCACGTTCTCTTGCGAAATAGCATGTCATATTCATGTACGGGGCTGCACTATATAAAAGAACAGTATTCTCTTTTCAAATGGTCAGATACAGGTGGCAATAATGATGTTTTGGCTCTTGAAATAAATAGTAGCCATGAAGAGTAACAAACAAAATGATTAAAATGTACCCATGAAATTCAAAGTTTTAGAAAGGAAGATTCCACCCCTCAATTGTTTACAGAATTAATGGAATCAATCAACCAAACACTCTTGTTATTAGATTTACATCTGTTAATACAAATTTGATTCCCCCAATCATGCGGCTTAGTTCAACTGTGGAAAGCTGACAGCATTCACTTGTGTCTTGTGACATGAATTGTTATGTACTCCCTACGTTCCATAATTCTTGTCGTGGTTTTAGTTCAAAAAATTGAACCTGTGAATTGTTATACTTCAGTACTCCCTCCGTTCCTAAATACTTGTCTTTCTAGAGATTTCAACAAGTGACTACATATGGAGCAAAATGAGTGAATCTACACTCTAAAATATGTCTATATACATTCGTATGTGGTAGTCCATTTGAAATCTCTAAAAAGACAAATATTTAGGAATGGAAGGAGTACATGGCAATATGAATGTGAACACAGACAGAGACCAAAACTATATGATTTTTCTATCACACAATAAAATACATGATATAAAGAAAGTGTGATGCTGAAGGGAAAGAGGAATATGAAGCAACATACAAGTTTCTCAGCCTCAACTGCGCAATTCTATTCAGAGCACGCCGAGTGCCTTCTCTCATGCTTTCTGCTAGAAGTATAATAGCCTGCACCAGGCACATTAGCACCATTTAAGTATCACCAACGAGATGGAAACTTGCTGGAATATGATGTAGAATTCTGAGCAGAATCTGCTACCTCTTCCTCTTGAGCGGTACTCTGAAGATCAAGATCGTTTTTGATATGTTCATCCACAGAAGTCCATGTAACACGAAACCCTGATGAAAGCATTGGCGGATATTAACACAAGCAACTCAATCGTCCAAAGGAAGATGCAATCCAACAATTTTCGTCAGAAATATTGCTGCAAATTTTGAATGCTTGTACATGCAAAAACTAACCCAGTAGAGATAGAAACATTGAATGGTATTGAAATGATGGACAAGAAGTAAACTTGGAATACATGCACCAGAAGGATGCGGAAAAGGTAACAAATACATACTTACACTGTTCTTTATATCTTTTTATTAATTTTTTGTCGTTTTTGGACTATATTTTGCTCAATTTACCAAACTAAAACTAAATCCACCTAAACTTTCAACGGGAAAACAGATGTACAAATCAGTATGCGTACAAAGAGGGTCCAAAGGTGCTCTGATTTCATTAAACAACAAAGGTATGTATGAAACTCACCAACTCATACAACGACCTATTAGCTTAAGATATTCTAGGTGCAGAACATTTCCCTGCAGCATGGTGTAATACCAATATACCATTTCAAGAGGAAAACAATATAACAGCTGCAAACCTGGTGAACTGTAGGTTATCATATACATCTCTGAGATTGCCTAGATGCTGCACAGCACTGTTCACTTGACACACGGACACCAGTCTAGATCTGATCCTGGGTCTGTAATGACATGCTGTATGCCAGATCTCATCAATCACGGCTGCTCTCTGCCTTCAGCTCAATGAAAATGCTTGTCAGTTGACTATCAAATAAGAAAACTGAAGGAACACGTGGATAGACTGAATGAGCTTATGTCTTTAGGCCACTTTGATACACAAAAACATCGCAATTCTAGTATCACTTGTACAAGCTCGCTACAAGCGCTGAGAGCTGCTCACTGTATACCAAGTTATTCAACTGCTCTCCCTTTCCACCACCAGTGAATTGTTGAAAGTAGTTATTCACAAAGTTCATAGAGCTCAATATGAAAACTTATGATATATCCTTCTCTTCCTGGGAGTCCTGAAAACTATCTCCATCATTGCCAAATCCCAATATACTACTCAGCTTGTCATCCAGTGTAATGCCTGCCTGGAGCATACTGTTATACATCATATGAGCTTTCTTCTCATCTCCAGTTTTGCAGTATCCAACTATGATATCTGTATAAGTTACTACAGTAGGTGAAAGCCCCTTATTTATCATTTCTTCCATCAACCACTGCGCACCATCCATCGCAAGCACTTTACTAAACCCACCAATTAAACAAGTATAGACAAAAGCATCTGCTGATAAACCCCCTTTCTCCATCTCTCTAAAAATTTCCAAAGCTGCCTTCATGTTTGAACGCTTACAATAACAATCAATAAGAGATGTATACAAAATCCTGTCTGGTGTCAATCCTTCCCAAATCATATGCTTAAACAATGTCACAGCTTCAGGAAGTCTGTCATTATGGCAAAGACCATTTATTAGGCTAGTATATGTGAATATATTAGGCTTTGTACCCTCATCCAACATTTTATGAAACAATCTGAAAGCCTCATGAAATTTCAGTGCTTTCACACAGCCATCAATAATAATACTATAAATGTAAGTATCTGGAACGCAGCCTCTTTTTATCATGTCTGCGAAAAAGGCCCACACATCATCGCATTTGTTGACCTTGCACAGACCATTTATGATAACTCTGTACATACAAAGGTTGGGAACAATTCCAAGCTGGCGTACTTTGTCCAGGAATAGGAGGGCTTCATCGATCATCCCTTCTTTGCTGAAACTGTCAACTAGAATGGTGCATGTCAGAATGTTCGGGCTTATTCCCTTCTCAAACATGAGTTCGAATACTCCCAATGCTTCTTTGAGGTAACTATGTCTACAGAATGCATATATCAGACTAGTATAGTTGTAAGCATCTGGAATAAAATTATGATGAACCATGTTCTTCCAAAGATCATACACAACCTCTAGATCAAAATGTTGGCAACAACCATCAAGAAAAATGCTGTAAACTATGTGGTCATGCTTGACACCTTGTTCTTTGAGCCTCCTAAACAGGTCAAATGCCAATTCAACCTTTCCAGCTCTGCAAAGACCATGCAAAAGTGAAGTATAACTGACCAGAGTAGGAGCAATCCCATTTCTTACCATTTCGACAAGCACGTCATAGCCTGCCAATAGATCCCCTTGCTTACATAACCCATCAACTAATATACTATAGCTATGGGCATCTGGGATAAACCCACCCTTCTTCATCCCATCAAACACCTCCATGGCTTTCTGAACCTGTTCCTCATGACAGAAACCATGAATCACAGCATTGTAACAATAACTGTTGCGAGGGTAGCCTCTCTGACAAAGCATTTGAAGAAAGTTCCATGCAGATGACACATGTCTGGTACGGCAAAGCCCATAGAGGTAAGTGCCATAGGTTACCGCATTCGGTTTCACGCCTTTCATTTCCATTTCACATAGAAGCTCAAAAGCTTCCTCCAAGCATAACCTATCTCCATGTGTATAAGCACTCATCAAAACTGAATAAGAGTACACATTTGGTGACGGACCAGAAGTATTCATGTCATCAAACAAACTCCTCGCAGACATGATTTGATTCCTCTCCACTAAACACTTCAGCAGGAAGTTGCACAACTGCAGCTCAACTCCAACCTTCTTGGCCTCAATGTAAGTGAGAAGAGCATCCTCAAACATTGACAACTCTACAAAAACCCGAATGACTGTAGCATGAACTTGTAGTAATGTCATTGACCCACCCAAATTACTGACCAACATAGGTGCCAACTCAAACAACTCTGGGCCGGCACTTCCACAGTAATCAACAATGCTCCGCATGAAGCACCGGATCTCTCTGATTCTTCGCGGCAAGAAGGGTTGCATAAGCAATGCAAACAGCCCAACTGACCGGGATAGCCCATATAACTTCACACACTCCCTGAAGGTAATTTTCCTGCCCTTGCTCCAGTTTGATGTACGAACTGCTAGTGTGATCAAGGGAGGAAGGCACTGGTTTTTATACTCGCTGCAAAAGAAGCTTCCAGCAGGTTCTTGATGATCTAAGCTCTTCAAGCAACAAGCCACAGAGTAAAGTCGCAATGCCGGAGGGTAGCTTCTTTTCACAAGGGCTTGACGCATGAAACTTAGCACTGCTCGGTGCATAGAGGAGGGCCGCCAATCCCCTCCTTATACTGACAGCATAAGCCGAAGAAGGAAGAATGTCCACTACTTTTGTACTTCATGGAGCAAACTTCCTTGAAAAGTTAACGGTGAGGACCACCCAGGAAATAATAGGACAAGTTACATGAAAATTTCCTGCAAAAAAAAAAACGTTGTAACTGTTATCCTCAGTGTCAAGGCTCACTTAGAGCAACAAATCGAAGCTTTCTGTTTTCAAAACATATGGTGCAGGATTAAATTGCCGGGAACCATTGTACCTGATTAAAAGCACCCAACAAGGAATAACATTTAAAGAAGGGAACAACAGTGGAAATCTGTCTGTAGCAAAAAAAAAAGGACTCAAACATGAAGGGAAAAAACGGCAGATATAGCGTGTTTATTGTTAGAGAGCAGCTACATCCACAATGAGGACTTAAATCATGCAAACATAGAAGGATATTATTTCAGCAGAATTAATTTGTACACAGATGTTTTCAGCAGGGCACGGTTCAGAGTATATCCACCATTGCTCCTGACAAAATATGACATTACAACTAGGGCCAGATGAAGCTGGGAGCACAAATATTGCAATTTAGGCATCAAGGGTAAATTATATGCAGTCGGATGGAAAAAAACCTAGGCATCTTATAGGAAAAATCTCCTTGCCAGTACTCACTACTACTCCCTCCGTCCCAAAATAAGTGACTCAACTTTGTACTAATTTTAGTACAAAGTTAGTATAAAGTCTATTTTGGGACAGAGGGAGTACAACAGAAATGTGGCCTAGCTTTGCATAATAATGAACACTTGAGGGCAGAAGCTGTGGAGCCAGGATTGCGAAAGAGCCGGGGCGAACCTTTTATTGGGAAATCTACCCGAGCCAGTTAGCGCAGCTTCTATTAACAGTGTATAGGTTGAGGATTTGAAGGGAGACAGCCTGCTGTCGCAGCTCGCCGCCGGCACGGCAACCTCTCATCGTCGCTC